AAGTTTGCAGCTGATATTTAAACGTATTGTCACATATAAATTCTATTTTTGTGTTACCTCGAAAATCAGCCTACTCATAGCAGACTTCAGTTCAGTATTTTCTCCTAAAAAAGTATTTATTATATTTCAAATTGTTAAACTGATGTTCTGTTCATTGTAACAGCATCGTAGATTAGCTGTAGAATTTTTGGAACGAGCTTTTGGAAAAGAAACAACTTCATATTTTATTAATTAGTCTAAACACAGCTTCGACTTCGTTTTTCAACAGTTCAATTAAACGAGCTAAGATTACATATATAAGTAGGGGAACCCTGCTTATTTTCTCGAATGCTGCTGGATGTGCTATTAAGAAAAATCAAATTTACATGAATCTTATCTAATTCAAACATGAATCTTTTTCTGCTACAAATCAGTTGCTCTCCTCCATACTGGCACTTTGGGTCCACCTCATCTGACATCATTCCGAGTCAACGTAACAATCTGTTTGCAAGGCTCTTGCGCCGTTGCAGTCTCACTTATCCGTCTTTCCTATTTCAGCCAGATATGCGTGCTCCCCGCCGCATTATTCCAAATCTGCCGGACATTGCTCTTCGACGAATGTTCCAATATCTTGACTATCGCGAGCTGTGTAAAGCAGAATGCGTATGCAAACGATGGCAAAACATTATTATGCTTTTGATGCGAAGAAATATACACGAAATTACATTTGAACAGGTGCTTCAACTTCAATATTTGCGGTTTACAGCAAATATAATGCACTCTTCAGTTTGGTGCCACTGAACTATCAGTTCGTCAAGTGGTACCTCTCCGACGATTGACGGTGACATGTCCCGCCAAAGAGTTAGATTTTGAAGCTGGTGTTTTGCGAAGGTATGTTCGTTTACACTGCACTTATCGGCTGCTGACTAAGAGTAATCATCTAAAAAATTTTGGATTTTGATACTACAAGTCGGAGTTAACTAGTCACCGACAAACGTTTACTAAAAGGGTGTGCACGCAATGACTTCCGTTCACTTACTTATTGTTTACTTACTTATATTTGTGCCTTGCTGACTAGTAAACAACATAGTCAACATGACTTATGACAAGTATGCATGACTCCCCCTCCTATCTTCCCTTCTCTTCCCCCTCCCTCCTCTCACCTCTCACATTCCATCTGCCTTCTTTTTAGACAAATACACCAACCCCTGCAGTCAAATGGCTAAAAAATTATTTCGACATATAATTAAACATTATTTTGGAGGTAGTTATGCTACTACTAATGTTTTATTATCTTATGATTCCAAAGAACCTTTCAAATGATTTGTAACTGATAATTGCAATTTAATCCAGTGATAAATACGCTGATTGGTACAGATAACTACAAATTTGGCCGTACAGAGGCAAACCTTCTACTATCTGATATGTGGTCTTTGCAAATTTCGATGCAGCCATTTTTTTGGGACTTTGAACTCTTTGAGTTCAGCATTTTACGGCTAAGAGCATGAAGTTCTTTGGAGATTTACCTTGCGTAAAAAGCGATTAAAAATTGGCTCACATCAGGTGAAGCGCCCGTGCTGGGCACCTCACCTGATGTGAGCCAATTTTTAATCGCTTTTCACGCAAGGTAAATCTCCAACTAGATTTTGCTTCCTGAAGCCATATGATCATCAATAGGGACCTTCTTTCTAAAGACAAACAGTTTCTCGCTACTGGACCTTTTATCATTAAACTAAACCCAGTTTTCTAAGCGATTGCAGGTTTTTTCTACAGAACTAGGATATCATTTGACCGGCCTAACACTTGTCTGCCCCCATTTTTGAGAAGAAAAAGCTGTGATAGCATATTTGGCGGCCGAAAGGCGAAAAGAGAATGGTACTGACCATAGCAAATTTTCAAGCAACAATAAAATTTGCAGTTTCACGTACAACTTGCACATTATCTGGAACAAATGCCTGTTCTCTTTATGCCTCAGAATTATTGCATTTTGAAGTACCGAGTGAAGCAATTGTTTTTTCAAGGTCTCGGCTGTCATTGGTACGATTGACCACAGATGTTCAGTTCCTGGGCAACTTACAATATGTACGTCAAACATACTTTTTGCCATCTTTTC